ACTACTACTATTAATAATAATTCATAATAAATAAGATTTATTATAAATAATAAAAAATTGAAAATGAAACGATAAAATAATAATGATAATACCAATCTCAACACTAATAATAATAATAATAATAATAATAATAATAATAACAATAATAATAATAATAACAATAATAATGAAAAAAAAAGATCAATAGTGAGAAATTTTACACTGTATGTATGTTATGTTGTCAATAGTGAGAGAAAAAATTGAGACCCTGCAATTGTGTGTAAATGTGGCAGAAAGTCAGATCAGCAACCTGGGACTTGGTCACAATTTTCGCGATGCCATATGGCAGCAGGATCTACCATTAGACAACACATTATGCTTCCAATATCTTCCCAGGCGGTAGTACCTCCCTGGTTGGTAGCTGCCTACTACCTCATGAAAGAAAATGCAGCTGATAATATAAGAAAAAAAATATGTTATCAGAAACAGATGCGCAAATATCTACGCGTTAACGTTACAAAACACGAAATGAAACCTTTGTTGAAGAATTGATGTGTGCTCGCAATTTGAGTAATTGTGCAGCACAGAGTGACTAACATGGTTCCTGAACTATGTGTCATTTTGAATATGCAAGTAGACTGAGGGTTTTGAACTAACTATTCTTCAGACAAGGCACAATAGAGCGGATCTCCCACAAATAAAAAACGTAAATCCTTGTCATTTTTTCGTGGTGTCACGGACCATCAACACGAGGACAAGCTCGCCAAGGCGTCATACAGGGCGAATATAACGATATACTTTTGCACACAAAAGGCTGGCAGACCTAAAAAACAGAGATCCTACACAGGCTATTGGCCTACTTCCCTGGTCAGCCCTAATTGCGGCGGCCATTAGGTAAATTAGATAAAACTGAACAGTATGCATTCCTGTGAGTCCAGACTTTTGAATCACCCCGTACATAATAATATCAAGTTAACACCTATAATGTAGTGGCCAGTTATGACGTCACTCTCGTTCTGACTGTATAGACTTAACCTATAATTTTTTCCGTCAAGGTTGATGCAACTCTTGCCACTGTGTCAGTTACTGATGTGCACCACAAAACTACAACGAAAAACATGTGTTTGTAACAGTACTACCTTTTAATTACAAAGGCAAAGACTAATCTGAAAATGATGAACACATCATCAGCGTTTTAATTAATATCTGCGCCACAAACTATTTCTTCAACCATAACTTCCGCTGAGCCAACACAAGACGTCATACATGTGAACACTAACCAACAATGTGGTGCGAAATGCGTTATTGCGGTAAACGAGTGATCGTTACAGATGTGTTTAGATTATTACTGGTGGTTAAAACTTTGTACTTTCAACAATCACTTTCTTCTGGAGTCAACAACAGACAAGGTCGCACAGTGAGCACCACTGAACACAGGCCACGATATTCGTCATTATCGAGGATCACGATTATCAAAACGTGTTTACCCGAGGACTTGTTTCACAAACATTGTACACGACAAATAACTTGCACTCAGTCGACAATAGGCGGAAGGTCACGCCTCATCACCTCCCTAAACAGGTGACTCCCATATACGGGGAGGAGACACCTGCCCACCAAGGCCGCGACGCTAGGCTGGGTAGGATATGGTGACCATGTACTGTACTGTACTGTACATTTATAACAATACAAACAACAACAACAGACAGGCCTTCACCTCACAATGTAGTAGACATAATTTAACTCAAGTGAACCTGTGAACAACATTACGAAAATATTCTCTCACATTTATCATAATAAATTACCTTGAGAAATTAGAACCATGATATAAGAACATAAGAACATAAGAAAATAAAAAGTCTGCAATAGGCCGGTTGGCCTGTGCATGGCAGCTCCTGTCGAGAGTTACTACCACTCTCTATCATCCATAAATCTATCTAGCCTCCTTTTGAAACTTTCCAGAGTTCCCGCACTTACTACAAATTTGCTAAGCTTGTTCCACTCGTCCACCACCCTATTTGTGAACCAGTTTCCTCCTATCTCCCTCCTAAACCTAAACTTATCCAACTTGAATCCGTTGCTCCGAGTCCTATCCTGCTTGGATACTTATAAGAACTTTATCTATATCCCCTTTATTGATTCCTTTCACCCACTTAAATACTTCTATCATATCTCCCCGCACTCTTCGTCTTTCTAGGGAATGCAAGTTAAGTTTCTTTAACCTATCCTGATATGGAAGGTTTCTAAGTCCCGGAATCATTTTTGTCATTCTTCGCTGCACCGACTCTAGTGAATTTATATCCATTCTATAATAGGGGCACCAGAACTGAACCGCATAATCGAGGTGCGGCCTGACTAGCGCAAGATATAGTTGCAATAAGACCTCTGCACTCTTATTACTTACACTTCTAGATTTAAAACCCAGTACTCTGTTTGCCTAATTTCGAACATTAACGCACTGTTTTCTAGGCCGTAGGTCCGGGCTTACAAGTACCCCTAGGTCTCTTTCACAAGTTGACTTCTCTAGGTTGATGTTGTTAAGGCTGTATACATTATCAGTATTTGTTCTTTCAATATAAAGTACGCTGCACTTGCTGGCGTTGAATTTCATTTGCCATTTTTCAGACCACCCCTGCAGTTTATTAAGATCCTCCTGTAATGCATTTGCATCCTGCCCTGAATTAATCTGCCTCCCTATTTTGGTGTCATCCGCAAACTTGCTTATGTCACTGCTGATCCCAGTATCTAGATCGTTTATGTAGATTATGAACAAGAGTGGGCCTAGTGCTGACCCCTGGGGAACCCCACTGGTTACACGGCCAAACTCAGATTTAACACCATCTACGCTGACCCTCTGCATTCTATCGGTGAGCCATGATTTTATCCACTTTATAACTTTCCCCTCAATACCATGAGCCTTAATTTTTCTCAGAAGCCTCTGATGCGGTACTCTGTCAAATGATTTGCTAAAGTCTAAGTAAATAATATCGTAATTTTCGTCATTATCTACTACCTCGAAGACTTTCCTAAAAAACGTCAGCAGATTTGTTAGACAAGATTTTCCCTTTGTAAACCCATGTTGAGAATCGTAGATTAATTTGCTTTTCTCTAGATGCGATCGGATGCTATCTGCTATAATTGATTCAAGAAATTTCCCCACTACTGACGTCAAACTGATCGGCCGGTAATTTGACGCTGATGCTCTGTCTCCCTTTTTGAATATGGGTACTACATTTGCCTGTTTCCACAAGTCTGGCGCAACTCCAGTGTCTAATGATTTTGTAAATAAGTTTACGAGGTGTCCGCTAATCTGTTCCCTACACTCTTTCAAGACTCGAGGGAAAATTTCATCGGGCCCTGGGGATTTTGTTTTCTTTAGTTTATTTTCTTCTTAAGAACATCCTCTTTTCTGATAGTGATATTCTTTAATTTCTCTTCTTCCTTTCCCTTAAATATCAGTTCCACCTCTAGGATTTCATAGCAAATTTCTTCTGTGAAAACTGATAAGAAGTAGCTGTTCAATGCTTTGCTTATTTCTTCACTGCCATTTATCACTTCTCCCCTCCCTGACTTTAAAGGCTCAACTTTGTCCTTGACCTTTGTCCTATATACATCCTAACTGACAGATGACGAACAAGAAAAATTAAATAAGTTAAATTGTCAATATAATTAAGTTAAATTATCATCGTAATTAAGTTAAATTGTCATCGTAATTAATGGCAGACTCTGGATTGCGTTATAAAAGCCTTATGCTTCACATGTTGACTCTATATATGTCACAGAGGAAAAACACTATCATACCCGCCATGTTAAGTTGTTGCTGGATATAGGGCACTGTGTCGGAGGGGCGGCGGCGTGTGCACCTCCTCCGGGCTGTACTGTCCTCACAAAACAAACCAACAACTCAACACATTAACAAGTTGAGCTAATGTTAAAAAAACTTATCAATCAATTTGGTTCACACAGTCAATCAGAATGATGTTCGTATGTTGGTCATGTTGGAGTTAAAAACTAACCCATGGACAACGTGTGTGTGTGAGTGTGTGACGATTTAGCTTCTTCATTGCAGCGGTTCACTTAAGTGTATGTTTGGTTACTTTATTAAACGTAATATTAAAAACTTTTGAAATATCTCATAACAAGGATTCGTTCGTTAAATGCCGATATTAATTTTCGCTTGGTTATTTTGAGACGTGTTGGCAAGGAATAGAGTACGTGGAGTAATGAGCAAGTGAACGACGGGTGAGAGTGAGTGAGCGAGTAAGAGTGACTAAGATAATGAGTGTACGAGTAAGAGTGAGTAAGATTGAGTGAACGAGTGACAGTAAGAGAGTGAGTGAACGAATGAGAGTAAGAGAGTGAATGAACGAGTGAAAGTGGAGTGAGTTAGAGAGTGAGTGAATAAGATAGTGAGTGAGTGAGAGTGAGTGAACAAGTGAGAGTGAGTGAACGAGTGAGAGTGAGTGAACGAGTGAAAGTGAGTGAACGAGTGAAAGTGAGTAAGAGAGTGAGTGAACGAGTGAAAGTGAGAGAACGAGTGAGATTGAGCAAGAGAATGAGTGAGAGTAACTTAGCTAGTATGTGAGAGAGAATCTTAGGGTGACAAACTTGACCACCAGGACGTCACACAGTCTGTATCCGTCTTGGGTTACGGCCTATTGACGAAGATGAAAACTGAACTAACGAGAATGTATAGTAATAGTTATGCATAATCCAGTTCGTTACGTCAACACATAATGGTTGGTAAATGATGCTAGTGGTGCTAATACCAGTCAAAAGTAAATGGTAAACTTATTTTACTGTTGGGTATGAATAAGTCTCCAATGGTTGATGACTGATGACTTGGTAGGAACAAATAACACGCTTCACCTGAGTCGCGGCTTTTTATGTTTTTCGTGAGAAAACAAAACAACAGCAATACTATTATTTTAGAATTACAGCAAAAAAACAGCAATAAATGTTCGCTGGTTGGTAGAATTCTGTAAATTATACACGACAATTTTTCTCACACTGAACCTTACCTTAATATTTGGAGTAAGAAAGTAGTAACACACAGAGGGAGCGTCGCCGTAGTGCACGCCAAGACCACAACAAAATGACTGAAGTGTTGCGGTGTTGGCAGGCAGCAGGGCAGGTACGGGGCGGGTCACATACACTTTCATTTAACCTTGGGTCTTCCCCGATCACAGCCTGACCCTCTGGCTTCCCCGCCCTTCTCTGGCAGTCATCCAAGACTTTTCCTCTGACTTTACTTTGTGTCCAAAGAACGGATGATCAGTCAACTTACCGGATCTTTCAAGGGTTGTCATTGCATAACGTCTGCCACTGTGAGTATTACATCGCTACTTTCAGTGGATATAACCTAAATTATGTTTGTGTCGTAATTACCTTGTTGACTGCGACAACTCAGAGTTACAAACTACTGTAGTAATGTTGTAGATCACTTACCCAGCGTTTTTCTAGATCCAAATAGAAACTAATCAATTGTCACTCTTAAACTGAGGTGAAGCGGCTGAGTGCATACTGCTCTCGCCTCATGTGCTTAATGATAGCTGGTTTAACCCCGGAGCTCTCCTTAATCACCTAGCCATAAATGGGTACTTGACTTTACAGGTGAAGATGTGAAAGCGGTTGACTGTAGTGCCGGCCAAAATACCTCACTATGTACCACAACAAGGTTAAATCTTCAGTGTGCTGTATCTGTACTGCCCCGAATGGACCGTCAAACCGTGAAACCCACTTCACAGTGACGGTGACAGTCTCGTGACTTGTTCCCCTCATAAAAAAGTGAGGACCATGATGGTTAAACTCCACCCACGATGCACCGCGCCTTCTAAGGCTGCAATGCACTTGATAATTTGTGCTCTTAAACAAACATATAACTCAAGTCAAAATATAACATGATTTTGCAAGAGTCGTTTGCTAGTCATACATTGGTACAGTGGCAACGCGTGTAGTCTCACTAATGTGTCAAGGGTTCGAGCCTCGGGCTGAACACACGTGAGAAGGGTGTTATCCATGGAGGTAGAATAAGGGTGGAGGCGGTATGAGCGGTTTACTGTATAGCGCTGTCGGCAGTGCCGGATTTAGACCTGTGGAGGCCCATGGGCAGCCTCTTTGTGGAGGCCCCCCTCATTATAACTACCCAAGAAGGTGGGGTGGCGAGTGAAGCAAGCATAAACATCTGGGAGTTCCGGGGGGCGCTGTAAGCCCCCCGGGAAAATTTTGAAATTTGAACACTTCTTTGGAGAATTTTGAAGCCATATGCAGTTATATTGAGGGAATTAGAAAATTGAGAAATTTTTAATTAACTGTATATTTATTGATAGTGTACAAATACCCATGCATTTTAAAGAATGAAAATAAAATAATCCAAATGAATAAACAAATAAATAAAATATTGTAATACAGTATGTGGAGGCCCCCAGATTGTGGAGGCTCCTGGGCAGCTGCCCACTTTGCCCACTCCTGAATCCGGCCCTGGCTGTTGGGAGTGAAGCCAGCCAGCCAGCCGCGTTGCCGCCATACTGTGGTTGGCAAGATCTCACTGCCAGCCTCCACACCTCACCACTCAACGACGTGCGTACTGCTAGTCTTCATGAATTATTGCCCTACTGTTCATTCATAAATACATTTGCTAATGTGTAAACAAGTGAGAAAAGTCATTGACCTTTATTATTCACAAAAATATATACAAATAATATAATAAAATCTGTGTAAATACGATGTCTATAGTATAGTACATAATCCTACTGGCCACTGAAATGAATGAGCTTTGTGTATATCTGATGACTCTTTACCTTAACCCGAGTTTGTAACTTAGCAGTGCACTGTTCTGCAGCTTATGCAACTTAATCTACGACTCTCAACATGGGTTTACAAAGTGAAAATCTTGTCTAACAAATCTGCTGACGTATTTTAGGAGTCTTCGAGGTAGTAGATAATGACGAAAATTACGATGTTAGACTTTAGCAAAGCATTTGACAGAGTACCGCATTAGAGGCTTCTGAGAAAAGTTAAGGCTCATGGTATCGAGGGGAAAGTTTTAAATTGGATAAAATCATGGTTCACTGATAGAACGCAGAGGGTCAGCGTAGATGGTGTTAAATCTGAGTGGAGCTGTGTAACCAGTGGGGTTCCCCAACACTTACAATTCAACGTCTATGGTCACGGACAAACCATGAACCCTGGATCTCTCCAAATATCCACTGATAGTCAATACTACTGTATACATGGGCGATTTCAACGCTCGCCATCCTGATCTTCACGACCCCCTTAGCAGAAGTAACTTTAAGCGGTCATAGGCAACCACGCCCTCCCTCTGTGCTCACTATCACCAACCGTCCTTACACCCCTTGAAAAGTTTCAGCAAGTAGCAATGCGACTCATCTTAGGGTGCCCAATGACGACCCGGATAGTGAACACGAGGAAACAGCTGGTTTGACCAGTGTCCAAGACAGAGTGAATATATTAGTCACCACATTTGGAGTCAAATGCTTAAAGGTTCCTAGGTCTCTCCCACCTTCACTGACCACCTCTCCATTGCTCTTCAAAACACGCCTCATTGGCCGGACGAGGCAAGAAGAGGATACAAAACTCTTCTCCAGACCTTCTTTGCCGTGTTCCTCGACTTCGACATTCACATCCTTCAGATAAATGACGGACGAGCGCCAGCACCATGGGGCCATCACACCGCCGTCCCTACACTACACCGATAACAAGAGAATCGACCACCCAATAGAACTACAAGCATCACTAACAGAAGATGAATGTAGTCACAAGAGTCATCACAGGGACTCAATCATCGTCTACCCCGACGGCTCACTACAGAACACGGGTACAGCAGGCTGTGCCTATGCGACGCACTCCGGAATGAAGTGCGTCGCCTTCCACATTGGACGGGCACAAGGTGTGAACTATAGGGCATCATGGGGGTCATCAACTACTTGCTAGACGAGGAGTGGAGTGGACTGGTGATCAGTGATTCTCGTTCTGGACTAGAGTCGATCACCTCACCCCGTCCCGCCTGTCAGGGTCTAGTGAGACAAATTCAGTATTGCCTCATAAGGGCGAAGACTTTATATGGATCCCATCTGATATTAGCCTTCACAAACACGACTATGTAGACAACCTCGCAACCTCCCTATCCCTGATGACGCTTCAACCATAACTACTGGTCGAGTCAAGACACTCCTCAAGAAAGTAAACAGCGAGGTGTTAGTGTTTTCAACCTCTGATAAACATTGTGGCACAAAATATCAATACAGCCGAAACAAATAGGTGACTCGGCTTAGTGATGCAGTTGCCGCCAGAATGAGATTTGATCACGCTGAGAATTGTTGAGAAATTCTTCCCTTGCTCTCACTCATTGTTGAATTTATGGCGAAAGTAGGATACACAACCTTCAGTATTACATCTCAGACTGCGGAACAATTAGTTCCTTATTGCCACCTAACTAAACCTTTGATGAACTCTGCACATTCTTCTTCACCATCAACATCTTGGAAATTATTATGCCGTGTTATTCAATAATTTGTACCATATAAAATACCTGTCCTACAGAACCTCCACTTATCATATCACACTCTGTGAGGTACAAGTTCAGCGGTTGCATTTCTTGGCAATAACTTTCGGCCTAAAACCTGCGGGATGCAGCTCTACCTACGAGATGAGTCTTTGTAGTCCAGTTTGACGGCTGGTTCTTCTGTATATTTAGGAATGCCAATCCTATTTGTGGAAACATAAATAACTACCCAGAATTAGAACTAATTTCACTCATGTTCCTCCGATTCTCCTTTCTTTTGTTCAGTTATTCTGGCCTAGTCCACACAGGCCGGAGATAACTACTTTAGTCAGGGTTGAAGTCCCTCACTTCAACAGCCGCGATACTGTCAACACCTGGAAGTGGTAATGAAAGGTTCTATAGGCAACATTACGTAGCATTCTCTACAATATGAGTTATATATTTCATCAGGTGATTGTAGGATCTTCTCTCTTTTTCGTTCGTCGGGATCATTATTGTCAGCAGCTTGACAGGTGATCTGACAGCCTAGTAAAGTCCTCAGATTACCTAAAGATTAGACATCCTATTATATTTTACTTGAAGATTAACCACCATGGATAACTGGACGATGAAAATGTCTCACAAGATTAGCGGAAGTGTCGAGAGCACTTGACCTAGGAGCCTACCTACACCAGTCTAGAATGGATACCGCGACCTCAAAAGCTCACGTGGGAAGCTGTGCCAAGATAATGGTGTATAAAATCAAATGTGGAATATTGATTTTATACACCATTATCTTAGCGATTTGTTGTGTATATAATAAGATGCTGTTAACTGTACCTAACATCATATATATATATATATATATATATATATATATATATATATATATATATATATATATATATATATATATATATATATATATATATATATATATATATATATATATATATATATATATATATATATGCTGATAACCACAAGGAAAGAAGAAAACACAAAGTTCCCAAGCGCTTTCGTGTAATTCACATCTTCAGGGGTGAGTACAGTCTAAGGATAAATACTTGACAAGGCTAGTATATACAGTAGAGGAGAATGAGATCAAGTCCCTCGGGGACCGTAGGTGTCCACAATGGTCCGTAAATTAGGCAGTGACCCTTCTAATCTTCATAAGCACAGCAGCTGTCCGTAGTCAGGATTACTATTATTATTAGTAGTAGCAGTAACATTATGTTTATTATTATTGTTATTATTGTTATTAGTATTGTTATTTTATTATTATGTTGAGTATTATAATCAAATATTATTATAACTTTTAATATAAGGTTTCAAAGGAAACAAAGTCATTTCACCCACAGAACAATGACCTGCCTTTTAGTCTGTTGGGGTCACTTTAGTCTTATTAATGAAACTGAAACACGCGCTTGAGTATTATTAATGAGACTGAAACACTCACTTGAGTTTTATTAAAAACCCATGTTTGAAGCTATCCAGCGTATTGGAGTTAATGATGATATTTGGGAACTTGTTCCACTCGTCCACTACTCTATTTCCAAACCAATGTTTACCTTTTTATCTCAAGGAAG